CTCTCCCCGAGGGAAATATTTCTTACAAGGGAGGATTTTGACTGCCGCTCCTACCAGCTGCACCACTGGTTTAACCAGACCCTGCGTATGGCTCCTGTCCTGCGCTGCCACCGAGGCTGGTACGACTACGGCAGGACCAGGATCAAGGTTAAACCAGTGTCCAAACTGAGCTAATGCTACCTCTCTGGAGCAATTTTGTCGATTTAATTTTATTTTTTTAAAACATAGACTTGTGTCCAAGTCGGGTTCCCTGGGTAGCCCTGGAAATTGCTGGGCTACACAGTGGGTACAGGGGCAGAGGAACCAGGGAGGAGCTGCTGTAACAGCACTGTCCCCAAAGAAACCTTCAGACTAGACGGGGTAGTCTTGATGCTGCTCAGATGAAGGCTTGTGTCACCTGCTGACAGAGGCAAATACCACTTTGGTGGACCCAGGGTCATGATATCGGTTTAAGTCAAAGGGTAGTTAAGGGGACAATGAGCCATGGATACTCCTGTTCCTCTGGTGATGCAGGCTGTGGTTTCCACAGCGGCTTAAACCAGAGGCATTGCAATCCCATTTCCCTCTTCCCTCCTTTACACCAGCACTATGGACAATTTGATCCTACAGTGAGCCGATTCAGGTCACTAATCCAACAGAGAACCGAACCAAAAAACCCAATATTTTCCATCAGTTTAGTAAACAGAACGGCTCATTACAAATGTAAATGAGCACCAGTGCTGGCTGAAGGAAGAGGGCAGACAGAGCTGGGATCAAAACAGGGAGGAGAGCAAGTGTACCTGGTAAACATCACAGCAACATCAGACATCACTGAAAGGCATCCCTATTCCTGATCATGCAATCCCAGTCCATGCACATGCATGCTGTGTTTCTCCACCTGCAACTACTAAGTTTGACACTCTAACTTGAGAGAGGGTAGCTTTCTAGTCTAAAGGAATCCCATAAAGGATTAAATACCTTATGTTCACAACTGTCTATGCCAGTGAGTGTCAAAAGAGGCAGTTTTCTGGGAGAGAAAGCAGATACAATTTGCTGGGAAAAAAATTACACCTTGGCTTGTGTGTCTTAATCTGCACTGCATACTACGCTGCTAAAGCCATAGCTAGGAATCTTTATTCCAGAGGCTTATGGTTCAATGTATGTGTCGGCTAAGCCACAACGAGTTGCACAGCAAGGCCACGTAGTGCAACTGCAGCACCAGGAAGCTCAGCTACAGCTAACAGGTTCTAAAAAGAACCAGGAGAAAAATGCTAACCCCAAAAATGGAAGAACACACTTTGTAGATGATTCAGTTTTGCCAAACGCAGTTAGCTGGATTTTGACTTAGTGATATGCTGGGTCTATTTATTCACCAGGTTTACAGTCAAGTACATTACACTTCCCATACTTAACATTGCAGCACAGAATTTTCATACATGATGGTGACACAGGTGAGACTACTACTAGTGAAAAGATTACTAAGAAAAGCTCGGTGAACAGCAGCAAATACTGCTAATAACTGAGGTTTTTGACAGTCATTTAAGAAATGCAAGTTTATCTGTACAGAGAGAATACAAAGGACAGGAGAAAGTGTTTTGATTTTTTTTTTAACGTGAGAATCATGATAAACAAAATTCAGATGCTATTTTAAGCAGTTTTGCACAAGCATGTGATGATCCTTGTTTTAGTTTGGGCATGAGAGGTTTAAGTTGACTGTTCCAACTGATCCTGAACTACAGGATGTCTTGCATTGTTTCCAAATAGTTTGGGTTACAGCAAAACAAGAGAACAGAACAAACTGTTACTAGCAAGAACTGGCTGGAACAAGCTATGACAATTTAAGAACTTCCCATCTGAAAAAACATCACTGATTACAAAATGAAAAGCAATGCTCCTACCGTTATTATCCTGGTAGTGTAGGGTTTTTTTCTAGAAGAAAACATGAATACTGTCATGGATACGCTTCACAAAACTTGTTCTCAGGAGCCAACAAGGCTGCTATTTTCCAGAACTCAAAATAGCAGACTTTGCTTTTGTGTCAGGGGGAAAAAAAAAAAAAAAAGGGAAAGTTAATTTTTTTTCTTCAAATGCCAGCAAGCTACAGATCTAGTTCTTTGATCTTACTTCCAACAATGTGCACTGAACCAAAATATTTCTTATTTGGTACACGTGGACATTGGCTTAATGAGAAACAGGACAGAGAAGGTAGAAAATAATGCAGTGTATCATTCCATGTCATTAAAATTGCTGTAATATATCTACATGTACTCCACCTGAACTACCCATCTACCTCACTGCACTTAGATTGTCATCACTGGAGGCTTTATAGAGAAAATCTATGGTCTAACATTGTGCACATGCATTATAAGTTGATTCAGTACCACATGTTGCACTGAAGTATCTGAAATCCTGGAGAGGTTCATTACTGCCTGCCTTAACATCTTTTGGTTCCAGGATGAATATGCAGACAACTCCTGATAACCCACAGACTATTTATGTTAAGATTCCCTGTTAAGTCATTTCTGTCTATAACACATGCCATTATTGCTTCTGGGGCCCCCTTGGGGCATGGGGGGGTTGCTCATAAGAAATCCAGATGCTTTTCACAGAGTCCAATAAATACTGATTTACCGAAGCTGACTGCATGTACTTGGCATTTGCATCCTTACACTCTACACCACAAATAAAGAGCACTGGGAATGAAACACGGACACAGTTACGGCAAACACTGTTCTTGGTCTAGTATGCAAGTAAGACTTGATCCTATTCCTGCTTAACTACTCATGCATTCACACTGTAACTGCATCTACCAGAGTCTTCAGCACTGGCACAACAAACCACAAATACATGGAGCGAGCCCAGGTCTGGTATCACTCTTGATAAGCTCTACCCAAACCAGAAGTGTTAAGATCATATCATGCATACTCTAGTTTCTCTGCAAGTGCCAGGTTTGGAACAGCAGGTGATACCAGGTACAGTTCAACACCAGATGTGGCTGGTACAATTTGGTTGCAGGTGCTGTCTGCTCCAGGGTGTGAGGAATGTGATCATGTGTACATCTAATAACATGGGGTTTTCCCGTTAGGTCAGGTATCCCCATCTGCGTAGCTTCCTTATCTTAAAAAGCTTTGACTGAAAAAAAAAAAAAAATCCCCATCATTAGTATGAAAAGAGAACCACAAATTTTCACTACAGGACAAACTACTAGCAAAAATGGCATTTCAGTTGCTGCAATTTTGCTTATTAAAAAAAAAGATGCAACATTCCCAGGTAACACATTGTAGATGGCTTATTTCATCACCTCTGAACACAAGATGGGATGTTCTGCATTGCAAAAGCGTAAGGTATGAACAAACACCCGTTGCTCTCAGAACCACCACCCAAGTTATACAATCACATACAAAAGCTCCAAAATTTAGAATTAAAGGTGTTGCAGGGAGTTTTAATACTAAATACCATGCAAATGTGTTCTAGTCATATGGCTTCCTGATTGTCACCCTCCTTTTAATTTGTTTTGTTCAAGAAGTCATTAGTGACGTTTTATGTACATAACTAAAGCTGATGAAGAATAAAGTATCAGTGGATTATATTTTATGGCAGAGTAAATAAGTCTACTCAAAATTCCAGGTTGTTATACAACTGGAGTATTAGGAAGAAAGGTCCTAGGAAGTTTCAGAAACTCAGCTGTCACTTGGAACAACACAGACCTTTTCAAATGTGCCATTAGCATTTGCTCTGCCAATTGTTGCACAAAACCACACAGAATTCTCAGATAACCAACCCAAAACCAGAAGCAAGGGTGGCTTCATCTTATCATCTATACTACACTATCTGACATGAGGGAAGCTGAAATTTGGAGACACCAATGGAAATTCAGGAAGCTTTGTAACGTCAACAATTCACAGTACATTTGAATCTCAACTCAGTCATCACATAAGGTTACCATGATCTTTTATTAAAACCACCAAACACAGAATTGCATCTCCTTTACTACAATGAACTTGAAAAATAGACACTCCAGGGGCTTTAACTGTAAAGCAAAAAGAAAAAAATTAAACAATCCCAGTTTCTGATGACTTATGAGGCTTTCCCCAAAGCTCTCAAAAAAAAAAAAAAAAAATCGAAGAGAATTTTGGAGTAATTAAAGCCAAGACAGGAATAGCACGGCAGAGGAATGAAGGTAACAAGCTAAGTCGTATTAGCTTGGCATTCTTCCAAGACTTTCATGTCTACCCAACAGCTAAAAATGCCTGGTAATCTTCCCTTTCTCTTCAGTGTCTCCTCCCCCACAACTGGCTGCTGAGGCTGAAACCTCTTCAATTGCAGCAAAACAAAAATGCATTTTTCTTCACCTTCACTTAGGTTTCTGCAGTCTTTTCCCCTCACCCAGAACCTTTGAAGGAGCAAGCGGAATTGCTTCCCAGAAACATTCCTGTTGATGGATTTCTGTACTGGCTCCATCCAGCCTCAACATTGTTTCTGGCACTGCTCAAAGACTCAAAACCAGGTAGGTGACAGCCAAAATCCCAAAGTACACTGCATATAGAATCTGTTCCCCTCAATAAATATTAGCTTCAGAGCGGTTTAATTATAGCAAGTGTCTGTTAAATTCACTACCTGCACCCTAAATAAATCAGTCTAAAGGAATGCACAGGGAATCGGAGCTCAGGTTTTTTCCTTCAACTTTTGTCATATATCCTCATACAAACCTGAGCAAATATTAAGATCTTAATTTCCCCACAGTTAAACCAGTAATGTTATAAGCCTTTCAACATCAGGGCAAGAGAACGCATGTAAATGTAAAATTATCTCAAGACACACACACCATGTAATCTGATATAAAACTTTACATTAGGAGCCAAATAGCTCAGATGAAAAATACAGCACAGAGTATAAAATTTCTCTTAAAATACAACTAAGAGGCAAGCATCATCACAGAAATATTCAAAGTCATCAAGCATTTTGATGAGAATTTCATAGAACTGAAAGTTTAAAAAATTACATTAAAAGGAGACACCAAGTATTTCAAAAACCTCTGTTTTATTTGTACAGAGTAAAATACATCATATAGTGAACATTGTTTTCCACCCATAATCTAAAGCCATTAATAAGTGTTTTCTTTTCACCAAATATCCTGGCCAGAAGCACAGACAATGGAAATGGGAATGCTAATTAGTCTCTCTCTGCCAGAGCTACAAGGTGCACATCAATCTCTGCTTCTGTAAGGATCCTGAAAGAACAAAAAGAAATCTTAAATGGCTTAAATCATTCTTCCCCTTAAGCTCCAATATTACAATGTAATATCTACACAAATAAGTTATATACAATGCATCTTTCAGCTCTTTAAATCCCCACTGCCACAGCCACAGGCTGACATACCAATTCTTTCTGAAAAATAAAGGAAGAATCAAAGGCACTAGAGAGCAAAGAGGTAACAAATGGTAGAAAAAGAACAGGTAATTCCTCATGAGTAATATATTTGCAAGCTGGGACCTTGCGAGAAGAATGGGTATGGTAATTAGTATGATTACTCCAAGGGGGACATAGGTTTTCATAGCCTTCTCTCTCTGCCTGTTATCCATCCTTTCTGAAAAGGACATAAGACCAGTAAATGAAGTTTGGCAGAAAGCTAGCACTTGACCAGCAGTAGAAAAGGTGTAATGCCGTTCCTGCATGCTTTCTCAAAAATGCTATGCTATTCTGTTGTCCTAAACACACACCACCAAATGCAAAACCACCCATCATCACCATGTCAACTTTAAACACATTAGGAAGCACTCAAAAGACCGCACCTGTAGGACCCAAAGGTTTGAAGCCTCTCTCCAATCCTCACCTACCAAGTAGCTAGACTAAAGCAGCAGAGGACTTTTCTTCCCCATTTAGCTGTTCCTCTCTCTTTTTTAATTAAAAGAAAAGCAATGAAAGACTAAGGCAGAAATAACTGAACTCCTCTGCAGCAACCCAGATTTAACTAAATTTTAGGTAAGACATACCCAGAGGGTCCGTTTGCATTAACAAAAAAGACCCAAAGCTTTTTTCCCCCACATTTCATGCATCCTTCCGCAGATACACATTGTGTTCTGAGAAGGCTGTCAAGTACACTGTATCTGGTGTGAGGTATAACCCTCAGCAGGAAGATTTCCAGGTGTTGTCTCAAGAGTCTGACCAAGTAACCTTGCTGCACACAGTGCACTGTACTCAGATTCAGGCAATAACAAGGGAGGGAGGAAATGGCAGGTGTCTTGCTTTCATGCTAGGTGGGAATGCAGTGTACTCAGGAAGTAAAAGTTCAGCCAGTTCCAAATTACTGCAGTTATCTTTAAATCCAGGATCTTTTAATCTTGTCAAATTTAAACAGAATATTTCAACTCATACAAATTCAATCTATTAACTGTATACTGGAGATGTTAAAAACTGCTGCAATAACAAGATGAGCAAGAGTCATTTAAAGATCTCATTTAGAAAAGGATTTAAAAAAAATTAAGTGACTTGCAAAATTTTCCCTAACATAAAAGAGACTTCACTGCATTAGTTGTCATGACTATGATTTGGAAGTGGACTCCAGATACTAGTACAAAGAAAAATTTTGATTCTTTTAAGCATGAAAAATCAGCTAGACCAGATGTAACTACATTTTAATCATCACATAAAGCAATACCCTTTCAAGAAACAAAAGGCAACAATTTTTTCTACTGGATGCCTTAACCATGTCAAACATTTTAAAACTGTGTTATTTTTTTAAACAATGTCTTTTACCCCTACACATTTTGAGGAGAGACAAGTAAAAAAACCTTCAAAACTTCAACATCTGACATTATCTCTTTTTCTCAATTTACCATTACACAAGAAGTTAGGGCTAATTGCACATAACCAGAGAAACACACTAAGTTTTATCAACACTGATCACTTACCTGAATTTAGGATTTTCCACTGTAACTACACCAACTTCTATTTCTGAAGGTTTGAAATCAATGGATAGTACAGTAGACAGGCATGTTATTGCTGTCTGAAAGATGACAAAAGCCTCTATCATTAAACAGAAAGCATTAAGGCTTTTTTTTTTTTTTTTTAATAGACATAGCATTAACAACTACCCTTCCTTCTAGTTTTAAGTTATTTTCTTCCACCTCAACACCTCAGCTGAAAAGTATCAAATAGTTTCCCCTTGTTATAGAACACAGTCCCTCTCTGGTGCTCTCCCTAAAAAGCCCCATCTAAAAAAACCAAAGGGACATACCATTTTCATAGCAGAAAAAACCCACAACAAAACCAAAACCTTTTATCGTGCAAAGAATAAAACCCCACGTCCCAAGGACAGAACACGTTTCATTAGTGGCAAACAAGACAAACATAATCATTACAGTTCAAGATTACTCAAAGCACGTCACTTGCATAGCTTCCATTTCGGCTTTTCTTCTGTTAATTAAAATTATGTTCTGTTTTTAAAAGCTGCATTTCATCATAGCTTAACTTACTTTTTTTCCACCCTAATCATCACCTGTTTTAAAAGGTGTTCTTTGCAACCTCACTCATACTTAACCCTGCAGCAGGGTCATAATAATGCTAAAGATGTATTCCTAAAATGATGATTGAGCACAAAAAGAAGTTCCATAGAACAGCTATGTAGCTAGATAATTATCATATCAGTTATTCTGACATGCTGGCATTTAATTCTGATCAGTAATGTGTGAGGAAGCGCAGAACACTAGACAAGACTTTTCAAAGTTTATTTTCAGTATGTTGATAATAAATTGATTCTGCAATAATTCTATAAAACTATATAGATGTCTTACCAGAAGACTGCAAAGTTGAAAAAAAAACCCCAGCCCCTCAAACAAAAAAAAACACAAAACCCCCCCCCAAACAAAATTTTTATCCTTGGAGCATTACCTCTAATGCAACACAAACCTGGAAAAAAAAAGGCAGTGTATGTGTGTGTGCGTGCGTGAAGAACATTACAAAAATGTGATTCTTGTTTTTGCTTGACAGACTTGCTTCTCCCTGTCACTGCCAACTTTTAGAGTAACAGTGTCTGATCTGCATTCACAATATCAGCATTCTTACAAAGATAACAAAAGGTATAGAAGCGCATCCAGAATTCGACTGGCAGATTAACTACCAATTAAGTATTTGCACCATACCATGGAAGTTTTATGAATTAAAACCAAGAATATGAAAAGACTGTTTCATCTACCTCCAACCGCTCAACTAAGAAACATGCACAGTATAATCAAGCAGTGACAGAAAAATATATTTAATGTGAAAAACATTTAGCCAGGATAAAAAAGGGTCTCTGAGATAATTTCAAATACATTCAATTTCAGTATGCTATGATTATATAACTCTCTCAGGATCTTCTCTTTAAAGAAATCACAAATTAAGGAAATCAGTACTTAGTAAGATATACATATAAAACTTATGAGTTTATGCTGAGGAACTTTCCATTTAAATGGTACTTTCACAGTAATGTAGACTTCAGAAGTAATTTAGCTGAAGGTCTGAGTCTGCACAGCACTCACAGGGATCTTAATACAATACTCTGCTTAATCTTACAGGAGAGTCAGTTACTTAAGGTTATTACTCCCCATTTCAACTGCTGATCTTGTGATGCAGGAAACATAATATTATGAGAGAAGAACAAGGCCTGGCAGGAGAAACAGCTGGGCCATGGAAAAGGACTGTTTAGACAGATCTCTACAGTGTAAGTGAAAAAGTAAGGCTGATTTATAAAATAAGTTCATTGACCTATGTTATAAGCAGGATACATTTTTATAATGGGCCTTGAACAACAGTTTTCACAGTAGGCGTAACAACCAGTGTTATATTTACTAAACTGACAGACAAGCACTACCCCATCCTCTTTGAAATGCTTTCTAACATGAAGATTGGTTTAAGCGCCACTAAAAGAAAACTGTACTTGTATCCCCAGAATCAAGCACTGTAGTAAGCAACCACCAGCTACAGTGGGAGTGCTACAATTATAGATTCTGCTTCAGCTAATGTAAAGCAGAAAAAGCAGATTAGATGACTAAACATTTGCAAAATACCTTAAAAAGATTTTCTGGTTGGAATAGCTATACTTGCTCTGGCAGCAATACGGAACTGTAAGAAAACAGGAAATGCCTAAGTGCATTCCTCTATATCACAAGCCTACATACAGCATATTCATTAAAAATACTTGAACAAATCTTTATTTCCTTCTGCTGGCCTACCTCTACTGTTTGTTCGTATGTCCAATCAAATTTCTTCTTTACTTTCTTTTCAAGAAAACTGGTTGACTCCGTCTGTTTAACTCCTGCAGCTGTGGCCTTGAATCCACAATAGTAACCTGCCGGATCACACTTGTATACCTGAGGGCCGTGTTCTTCATCAATACCAATCAAAATCATACCTTGAAAAGAAAATTTGTTAATTTCTTTCCCCAGTTTTAGCAATTTCATTCAACTGAAGAACAGAATAGACACTCCCCTCCTGTGAAAAACATGCATGCACAGCAGCACATTTTTGGGAACCAGTCCAACACCGGGCTGTGATTTCCTCTGTATCTCTAATTCACCATTTCTTACCAGCATCCCATCACCAGGTGCGCAACTCAGTTTAGTGCAAACTACATTTCTGTCATTCCCAAAGAAGGCTACTCATTAAACATAGGAACATTTTTGCCATGTTCAGTGTGCAAAGAACCACAAAGTCAGGAAATACAAAAGCTTAATCCCGCTACAAAGGTAACACAACCACAATTCACATCCTGTGTATTGTATGAAGCTTTAAAAGTGTAAACAATAGTTCTATTAACTTGTGCCTTTTTTACCAGAGAGCAACTTTACAAATATGTTGAAACTAATGGAAATATTAAAAGATCAACTTTAGATTTCTCAACTCTATCCTGATAAGCACTGCATTACATCCTTTTTCCTCTTTTCCTTAAAGAAAAAGAAAAAAGAAAATCTGAAATGAAGTATGGCAATACCAGAACATAAAACTGAGTCTTTGAAGAACATTTGACTAAGTGCTTTCAAGTTGGATAGACTTCAAGTAACACAAGTTGGTCACATCACTGAAATGCATCTGTGTTCACCCACACTTCTAGATTTACAGTTGTATAGTCTCAATATGCATATTAAAAATAACTTGAAAGCAGTACTTGCAAAAAAACCCCAAAACAGAACAAGGTCAAGGTTTTAAATTATTTTCGCTTTACACTTGTGTAACTTTTAACTAGTAGTTATAGCTGATAAGCTTCTGAGCAGCTGCTACTACAACAGAGAAAAATTTCCCATGATCTTTTCAAAAAAGGTTAAGGAAAGTTAAGAAAAATATATTTTTATTCATGTATTAAAAACAAAAACAAAAACAAAAAACAAACCAATCTCTTTCCAGTAGTATCAAGGCCTGGGAAATGCCAAGGAAAGAAAGAAACAATCATTCCTGAACATTACAAGCATACAAGCATAGGAAAATTGCCTCATCATGGAAACCGTGGTGCAACCCTGAATGTTACTGCTTTAGTGAGAAGTGCTAGTGGCTACTATGATTACAAGAAGTGATTCATCAATTCTGAAACTATTCTCCTTAAATTAAAAAAAAAACCCAAACCCGACGCAAACAAAAAGAAACCCAGACAGAATGGTTAATGAAAAAGTAATTGAGGAAACAGTGTTTCATCTCAGTTCCCAGTCAGCCTAACAGTATGGTTATAATTTGCTCATAGCCAAATGTAAGAGAAAAAACAAGTCAGAACCAACCTCAGAACACAGAGGTGACCTGGAATATCTACAAAAACCAACTTTACACACATCTTTTTTTATTTAAGCTGCATTTGCTGTTATAAAACAAGACTGGTGTAGAAATGTTTGCAAGTGAGGTATTTTTAAACACTTCTTCTCTACATTATATATATCATGGTTAAGAGCAAAAATTATACAGATTTTTGTCCTATGCATACTACTCAGATAAAAAAGCCATAAAATCTGCACAAGCATAACTGCACTCTCCATATGTCTGTTTTAACAGTGACATTTACAAAGACACTGGTAGAAAGAGCATCTCCCATTCACAGACATCACAATACAGTGCAAACAGACCAGGCCCCCAAAACTAAGGTGAAATAGCATAACACGTTTAAAAGAGGCTAAATTATTTACTCCAGTGCGAACACTAAGACAATGGTAAAATCACGGCTCTAATTCAAGACTTCAAACACTGCTCTCTCATTTGGCTGTTCATCCCTCTTACTCCTTCAGTTACATCCATATCTTGCACAATTTGAAAATGGGTGAGAATTTCTTATACTTGAAGTTGCAAGCTTAGACAAGAAACAGTGTCCTGGTTTCTGCTGGGATAGAGTTAATTTTCTTCCTAGTAGCTGGCATAGTGTTATGTTTTGGGTTCAGTATGAGAATAATGTTGATAACACACTGATGTTTTCAGTTGTTGCTAAGTAGTGGTCATATTAAGTCAAGGATTTTTCATCTTCTCATGCCCAGCCAGCAAGAAGGCTGGAGGGGCACAAGAAGTTGGGAGGGGACACAGCCAGGACAGCTGACCCAAACTGGCCAACGGGGTATTCCATACCATGTGATGTCATGTCCCGTATATAAGCTGGGGGGAGCTGGCCTGGGAGGGATCGCCGCTTGAGGACTAACTGGGCATCGGTGGGCAAGTGGTGAGCAATTGCATTGTGCATCACTTGTTTTGTATATTCCAATTATTTTATTATTATTGTCATTTTATTATTATCATTATTAGCCGCTTCTTTTCTGTTCTATTAAATTGTTCTTATCTCAAACTACGAGTTTTACTTTTTCTCCGATTCTCTCCCCCATCTCACTGGGTGGGGGGAAGTGAGTGATGTACATGGTGCTTAGTTGTTGGCTGGAGTTAAACCACGACAAACAGAAAAGATATTTTCATACTCTATACTTACAGCAACCAAGAGGCCTCATTTCAGCATTCTGTGTATAGACCTGAGAAATATCTGCAATCCTTTTACACAGCATATCCACAGGGATGTCATAGCCATACTTGTACTTCCAGTTAGCAGCCTCATAGCGGGCTCTCTGCACCTGGGATCTGCTGTCAGCTAGACAGAAAGAACTAATATTAATTTCACTGAACATGTACCACGTTTATTCGCAGCATTGCTTGAGAATGCAAATTCCAGTCCCGAGTTTAAGTTGTCTTTAAATATACACATCAGAACTAGACAAGTTCTCCAAAACCAGACCGAGTGGAACAAATCTCCTAGAGCATTTATTTGGTTTATGTGATGGTGAACTACATAAAAAAATCTGACACACTTCAGATACTTATAAAAGATGGTGAATTAAATACCTGTCATTCCTGTCATCACACAGCCAATATTTTCAGTAATTCTGAATAAATGAGTCACTGTGTTGGAATCCAGTAACTTGTCCTAAAGAAGAAATGGAAATGATCTAATAGAAAACGCTGTCCTTCAAGTACAAAAAAAAGACAGACTCGGGATGCTCTGGTATCTACAGAAGAGCCCGAAAGAATCAACTAACAGCTAAAAATTGCCTTTCAGGCTCTCCACTATTTACCGCTGTAGGCATGCGAAGGAAGAAATAGAAGAATAGGGAAGATAAAAACCGCAATATCTGGAAAAGGATGACAGCTAGAGCATGACCAAAATCGAAGTCCTTTTTCCTCTGAAGAAACTTTGAGAACATACATACAAAAAAAGTTGTACTCTTATTGCATGCTGCCCTTCAAACACAACGGTTTTCCCCCTTTGTCAACAATACATCACCACTGCTGAAACACTCATGAAAATCTGTTCTGCATGCTATTGGTGTAACATTTTCTGAGTAGGAATTAAAGAAATCAGGAAACTGATTATGGATGACGCATCCCTTACAAGCCAGAGTAATGTCTGCATGCTGAAGTACAGCGGGACCAACTTCGTATTTTAGCTTTATCCCTATCAACTACAGAGAAAACAAGCATTACAGGACTTGGTGATGAAATGTACAATCAAGCACTAAACGGAGCTAGAACTTGTAGTAAGCAGAATGCTAATATGATATTCAATTCAAACAGCAATATATGTCAATGCTAATAAATGTAATATCAATGTTGCAGAGTTTCTCCCCCACCTTTTTTCTCACCTCCTTCCAGTCCTCCCCTCAAAAACAGACTACTTACAGGTACTTTCTTCTGTGTTACAATTACTGCAGAATCTTTCCCACGAACAGCTACAGACGTAAGTCCACCTTGGTTTATGGCCTTAAAAGCATATTCTAGAAAAATACACAGATGTTAATAAAAACAGCATTAGAGATATTAGAACAATTAATTCTGACACACGTCCCCCCAACACAGAAATCTCACCAAGTTCTGGCCTTTTTAATACTTCAATACTTGTGCAACGCTTTGTGTCTTTAAGGTCTTTAGTACAATGCACACAAGAACCTTCTGATAGGAATTAAAGTCATTGACTCTCTTTTACAAAACCACTACCACTGCTTCCTTCAAATATTTCTAATAAGTTGCCTTTTTGTTCAGTTAGAATGCTTAACAGCAACTGCATTTATTTTAAAACAAAAAGGCTGTCCTGCACTTGACCAAAACGGTCCAACCTTAACCTACAGTAACTGTAAATCCTTACAGAGGATTTTTTTAACATGCAAAAGTTTAGCATTTCAAGTGTTATTACCATTGCAAGGATGTAATGTTCTTTTGTAGATTTTAAGTGCTACAGATGAAAACTGAAACGATGGACCAGGCACAGAAGACGGGTTTTAACCTTACTATCATATCTTCTGACGATGTTCAAACACTGCAATGCTTTTATTCACTTTTTAAAATGAAACCTATGCACATGTCATATCTGTGTTATTCAGATAAATACAGTGGATTAAGATTTACTTGATATGATCCATGAAATACATTTCCGTCAATTAATGGTTTCAAAAGGCTCAGGAACAACTACTTTAAAAATTGTTTATCTGTCAATATATGATAAACATTCAGAACTTCCTAATATCCGGTTAGGAGAGGCAAGTTTCAGGCAGTAGCTAAATGTAGATGAATTTTTTGTTAGCTATGTGAATGAAACTGGAATTTAGAACGTGTCTAACAGCACGGCAAATTGCTAAAACCATCTTCTAAAATAACAGGAGCAAGAAACTCAGCTGTTTTAAAAGCTCCACTCAGGTCTATGGAAGAGACTGCACAACAGGACAGGAATAATCTGAAAATGAAAAAACAAATCTTGCAATACCAGAATCTTGATGTTCAATCTGCTGAGTCAGTGTTGTGGAAGGACTGATCGCCATGTATTTATGGCACTGTATTTATTTCTCTCAGGCATCAGAGCATTTACTGGTTACCCAAACATGCCATAAAGAACGTTCCCCCTTTCTCTCCACTATATGCACAACTCTGCTCACCTCTTCACTTGCCTTCCCCGGAATGAGTGCTAGCCTGCAGCAAAGCACAGAACCCAGTGAGACATGAGCTAGCACTGCCCGCAAACTGGTCATCATGTTTGAAGCCCCAGGCCAGGGCTCTGCAACACGTGTTTATTTATGTGTACAAGTATCTGAAGGGAGGGTGTAAATAAGATGGACAGAACCAAGCTCTTTTCAGCGGTGCCCAGTGACAGGACCAGAGGCAGTGAGCACAAACTGAAACACAGGAGGGTTCATCTGAACATCAGGAAACCTTTTTTACTGTGAGGGTGACTGAGCACTGGCACAGGTTGTCCATAGACGTTGTGGAGTCTCCATCCTTGGAGATATTCAAGAGCCGTCTGGACACAGTCCTGGGCAACCAGCTCTAGGTGGCCCTGCTTGAGCAGGAGGTTGGACGAGATGACCTCCAGAGGTCCCGTCCAACCTCAACCGTTCTGTGGTTCTGTGACAGTTAGGTGGGAGCAGGAATAGGTGCCCTCACAAACTGGTTTTGCTCACAAGTACTGAGAACCAGGCTTGCTGAACTGCAGCCTCTTCTCGCACTGCTCCCACTACCATCTGCATTGCCCAGTTTTCAAAGAGACAAGCCAAAAAGCGAAGTGGCTCTTGCAGTACAACAAATCCAAATTGCTAGTGATGTTTTAAGTCTGTCTTCTGCTATGTAAGCATTTCAGTAGTACTGCACACGTTCTTTCTGAAAACAGCAGTCCCTTGCTGTTCCCTGAATATATCACAACAGTCAGAAATTTGACCATAATAATTTTCTTCACTTCTCAAAATTCCACTTAGGTGAAACATCACCTTTGAAGACTGGAACTAATAGGTGGCAAGACAACACTGATGCTCTGAGGGATTTTAACCACAGCAATGAGAGATATATAAGTAACTGTTACTTTTCTAATACGAGATCACTTCAAGGGCACATGAGCTTTCTGAGCTTCGGGAGCAGAAGACAGATCTAAGGCAAACTACAGGCATTTCAGTCCAATATCACTACTCTGGAAATCACTGTTCAGGTACTACCAAATTCCAGAAAAACCTCAAGTTTTAAGGCAGCCTCAAAACAACATGTGTCCATGCCCATCCTTGACAGCACCTAGTTAATCTGAATCCAGCACAGGGACAAGGATGTACAGGATTCAAAAAGAAAGAAAGAAAGAAAGAAACGAGCTAGATTCAGATATTTGACCTCAAGCAAACATGAGCTTTCTGCCCATGGCTAGCTAACAGAGACACTAGTGCGGCACCATGCCTGAGTTATCAGCCTGGCTGTGGGTAGAGTGAGCTCATACTTGCTTGAGGCTAACTATGCACACCTAGGTATTTTTTTTCCCATAGCATATAGGTACTTAAAATATCTTTAAGACAGCTTCAGGTTGTCTGCAGAGGCTCTCAAATACACATGCAGATACTTGCTTCTAAGACACTGGTAAAATACATGGAGGTACTGTACATTTCTTATACATTAACCTAATGGTTGAATATACCCAGGACGTAGAAAATCAAGGCCCAGTTTCCTCTTTACTACAGGATGCTGAAACCATTCCTAACAAATAGTACTGCAACACAGAAACAGCCAGAAAGGCGATGCAGACCAACCAGCCTGTTTTAATGGCAATGGAATGTTGGAGCCCATGACTCTCCCATCACACATCCTGCGTGAGGAAGCACTGTCCCTACCATCTGTATGTACAAGGCTTACTACGCAAGTTGCATACAAGCCTTATACACACTCCAGGTGTAAGACAGCACCTGTATGTAGGTACCTAGTAGAGGTAACTTTCTACCTGTGTATAGACACCTACACACAGGCAATTTCCTAGCTGTTCCTTGGACAAAGGACTGCTTGAGACTGGGCTGCCTGCCCACGAAGCCTGTTTTACATAGCCTTCTTCCTGAGAAAAACTCAAGGGCAGACACAGAAGAAACTATTGGCTACCATGGACAAGTCATGCAGCCTGGTCCCAGCAGCCTCCTTTCCTGGAGAACAGATGGACGTATGGATGTGCTGTGCAATGCACGTGCAGTGAAGTCACTGCAGCCAGGGAAGAAGAGCCACTAAGCTCCAGGGGAAGACAGCATCAGGACAATGCTGCCATCGCCAACGATTCATCTGGCCCTGTTGTGAGGATCCTCCAGGAGCACTCTCAGTGAACTGTCCTGCCAGACTGCGAGTTGACTATGCTGTTACAGGGTATTCTGCAGAAGGAGCACCATGATGCTATTCTGCAGAATCTAGTGCACTGTAAAAATAGGAATAAAAGTTTCAGTAGCCTATGGAAGAAGATGAAGCTAGGCTGCAGCTTAACTGCAGAATGTTCGAAGAAGCCTGGAAATAAAGCATGGCTGCTGCTAACTTACAGGCCACGATGTACAGAACACATGGCATTTGGCTGTAACAAGAGAGCATGAGTTATCTCCAAAAACTGCCTCTGTTACTCTGGCATGCAGGGTTTGAGGCAGTTCAAGTCCCATTTCAAACAACTACTGTAGTTCTCAGATTCCAAAACACAAGGCTCCTAAATTTGTTAAGATAAACTGGAAGAAACACTTTAGGGGGAATAAAGAGTTTCTGGGTAGATGTCAGTTTGGTCTCCGAGCATCTGAAATCGAACACCGGCCAGTAACAGGAGGTGCCTCCCCCTGGCAGGGGACACTCTGGG